AATATAAGAGCGTTTTTAAAATTGGACGGAGGGAGTAACTTAGAGAGACACCTCCGTTGTTCTTTAGCAATTCTATTTACTAAAAGTACTAGCTTTAGTACTGAATGCACACCAAGACTGTGCCGAAGGATACTTATACTTTTATATAACTAGCAATACATGTTTCGTAGGGAATGTCATTACTGAGACCCATGCACATGATCTCCATACACAAAGATAAAACATAAAACATTTGAGTATTCTATGATAGTTTCCAGGAAAACTAACTGCACATATCACTTATATATGTATTTTAATACTATCATCGCCGACACTCTGCAAAAAAATAAATAAATAAACTAAACTACACATATCAATTACAAGTGTATTTCACTAATGTCGTCCATGTACACACACTCGATTCATTAACTACCAGTCATCATGCATACAACATGCAGGCAAATCAACTAACGCTAGATAATTTCAATTTCACACATGTCAACTTAGTAGTTGGTTCTCCAGTACGAGACAAATATGAGGCCAACAGTTAATATGACAGTAGCAGTGTAAAGTATGAGACAATAATAGTTTACCTTCTTTTCAATTGGTCGTTTTCTGGAAATAGAGATCTCCTGGAGTAAATGTTGCTTGTTGTTTATTTACATACAATCAAAAGAGAAAACGGAATTAGAACATTTGCACATGGCACAGAAAAACAAATTCAATAAACACAAGACAATTGCCTAAATATACCCTTCCACACTTCTCAATTCTGATTTATTGTTCATCATCCATCAACAATTATTTTTATGGAAAGCAAGAGCTCTCTAATTGGTTTAGCATTTTGATTAATCCTTCCTTTCTTTTTGTGCATAAACACTTTACTTAATATACGTTCGAATTCTCTGTTTTCCTTGAAGAAGGTGAAAACACTTCGTCCAACTAGATTTAAAAGAAGCTGCTGGATCTTTCTCACCAAAAACACTGGAGCTGCTGGATTACCTCGCCTAATGTGAGTTGGAGCGACCGCGCATGACAGTGTGTTGCGAATGGACCGGTCCTGGTAGGCTCCATGTAAGTTTGTGTTTTCTCCTGTTTTTTCCTTCTTTTTTTTAAAGTTTTTTCTTCTATTCTTATTTTCAAAAATACCGTACACACACACACACACACACACACACACACACACACACACACACACACACAAATAAATACATACATATATATAATTGAAAAAATAAATCCCGATTTGGAAAAACGTTAACATAACATAAAATAATTGTTAGCTTGACTAAACCGATTGTTGATAGCATATTAAAAGAAATTTGTGATATTTTAAAATGTTCACGTGTTTAAAAAAAGTGTGAATTTACAAAAAAGTTAATCATATATTTGATAAAAATGCTAAACATACTTAAAAAAATGTTTCAAATGTATACATGAAAAAAATTGATAGCATACAAAAAAATTGTGACATTCTAAACTTTTTAACGCGTTTCAAAAAAATGCATGTGAAACTATAAAATACTGTTAATCATCTATTTAGAAAATTTTAAACATATATCAAATAAATGTTTCAGATGTATATGAAAATGTACAATGTTTATGAAAAAAATAGACATGAAATATGTATTTTTGAAAAAAAATGTTATCATTGTATTTGAAAATTTGATCATGTATTAACAAATGTTCTTGTCGTATACGAAAAAATGTAGACATCAAAACATTAATCATAAAAATATTAATTGTCTACTTTGAAAATGTTAACATGTATAAATACGGTTTTACATCTACATGTAAAATGTATATAGAAGAATTAGGAATAATAGAAATGACACATCAAAAAATAATAAAAATACAATCTAGATGGTTCTAAAAACAAGGAAAAATTATCAATTACCATGAAGAAAAACACATAGAAAGAAAGAAAGAAAGAAAAAACCAAAGAAAACTGAATAAAAAGAAAGAGAAATGAAGGAAACCATTGAAATAGTAAGAGAAACCAATGAAAAAGAAAGAGAGATGAAGAAACCAAAGAAAGAAACATCGAAATACAAAGAAACAATAACAGAAAAAACTAATGTAAAACGAGCAAAATCCAAAGGAAAAATGAAATAAAATATTAAACCAGCAAAAACAGAGAAGAAAACAACCAGTGGAAAAAAAGAAACATAAGTTATGAGAAAGAAAAAGAAATCAGGAGTTACAACAAAGAAAAAAACAAAATTCAAAGAAAACCAATGGAAATCCCCATGAAAACATAAAACGAAAAAATAATCGAAAAGGGAAGGAAAAAAAAAACAAGGCAAACCGACCGAACACCATGGCCGGATGTGAATGAGAGAAGAAGAAAGTGACTAATATCTGGGGGTGTCATAGAGGGCAGAAGTGAGAAGAAGAAACGTTTGGGAGAGGTGAAATATGACAACACTTTCTTAAACCCGAGCTATGTTTTTTAGTCTGTGAGTATAGCAAGGTTGGGGGCGGTGCCCCTCCTCTGTTGATGTATAAATGCATAGCCCACCTTTCCCCATCATCTTGAGCTTTTGGGCTTATGCCGTCATTGACCAGTGTGAGGTTCCACATGTCCTCGGCCAAGATGGCCGGCTTTGCCACCTTGTACGCACCCTTCTTGACGTAGCTGGTGTGGCGGTACGTGCTCCGGCAGAGCGCCCTTTAGGGCATCCATGCTCGTGGTGTAGTTGCCACTGTCATCCAATGTCACC